GACAAAGGAATAACAAATATTTACCAGTCAGTAATACACGAGAACTGTAAGCTTAGTGAGCTGTGGCTTAGTATAAATCGCATTCCAGCCAGTGGATTTAGTCTTGAAGGTCTTATAAAAGAAAAGAAACCTCACTTTAATTTGCATTTGGCGTTTTAAGTGATAACGAAATTACTAATAAAGGAACAATCAGTATTGGTAAATCAGTTATATGCATAAAGTCATAGTATAGTTAATAGTTAATCATAGTTAATCCCTAGCCCCTCTATTAACTATGATCATAGTAATCCAAATCTAAAGTAAGAAATATAAGTGTAAAAAGTAAATTGGCGCTTTGGTAGTTATATAGGCAAAGTACCTATGGGCTCAGTGTAGCCATCGATATGGGGCTGGTCCGACTTAATTCCGTAAACAGACTAATTTTGGAGCAGGCGTTGATACATCAGAGCCTTGAACTCCCCGTACCGCGGGGCTCTTCCGTGAGGTTCTCTCCAAACACACACCACTACATTCTCTCTCATGTTGATATTTATAGAGGGAGAACCCAGAAAAAGCCCTCTTGGCAAGGGGGAGACAATACATCAAACAAACTCAACTAAATATGATCCAGTCTGAGCCAGGCCCTCGAAACCGGACCAGAGTGTTGAGAGGCGAGCGGTAAACCACTACGCGACCCATGCCACCCAACTTTCCTAACCGGACCATATCCCATAGTGGTGGCTACGAAGTGAATCCTTAATTTTGTAAGACAATAATCTTAAGATTGATAAATATATTACAGTGATACTATAATCATATTTCCGCAATAATTTTTTTTTTTTTTTTTTTTTTTTCGCAATTTTTTTTTTTTTTTTTTTGCCATGGCAATTATCACTATTTTTTGTGGAAAGAAAATTCGTAGCTAGTAAGCTATTGTGTTTTATTATTTGCAAATTGATAAACAGTACCAGCTGAATTCTTTGTGTACATAAGTATTAATGCTATATCACACCTTAGGCCATCCGTGGTTGGACAAACATTTTTTGTCATTATAAGTATTTTTTATTGAATTGGCTTGGGTGGTTGGAAATGCCTTTCAAAGATGATAAATGTGGTATTAAATTTTGTACTATGGCATACATTCTAAATGACCACTTAAAACAAAACTAATAAACATTACAATACAATAAACAGATGTATGGTTTTAAAAATTTCCCTCAGACAGTCTGACATAAATCCTGCTAATAATGAGTTACGTTTCGCTTGAAATATGATCCCGTACATTAATTTATTTTCCAATTTCCACAAGTTGTACTTTCGAGTATATGACATGTGGTATTATCGTTTAGAAAGACCATGTAAGGGAATATCTGTTACACATGGGTGGTAGGGGTGTCATATTAAGGTTAAATAAAATGTATTTAAAGACCCCTTACCTTAAAGAATGACTAATCATGGGCTTGGCATCATGCTATATTACTTTTAGAAATTCATTACACTCCCCTGAAAAAATATCAATCATCTAAACTACATATACTATGCCTATAAATACAATGGAAACTTTATAGACATAGGCTGTGTTTTCACTAGAACAATTTAAACTAGCTTAAATACAACACCAGAAATAAGGCAAAGTTAAACCTAGCGAGATGGTTCAAGTTGTCCTACCAAATAAATAGGCCAATCACAGTGTTATTCTTGAAAGGTGGGCATCGGATTAAAAAACCTCCAGGAATTTTACGCAAGTTAACATTGCTAATGAAAACACAGCCATAAATAGGTATGGCTTAGGCAAGAGCAGAGATCAAAATATGAAAACCAATTAAATATAAACCACACTTAGATCATTTAGATTCAACATGTCAATCAGCCTAATCGAGAGGACCTCATACAGTAGACTATATATATAATATATAATAATAGTAATTTTACAGCTGTCAGATATATAACCTAAACGAAAAGGAAGCCAATGTTTGTTTAACAGCTATCATGAGTGGAGTTGCTCCATGTTGGTTTTCTCCTGTGCTTAGAGGATTTTTCTCCAAAATTCCCTACCTCTTGAAAATCGACTTCTAGATGAAGAATCACTCTGGAAATAGCACTGCTAAATCCTATTTTTATTTTGCATTTCTAATCAATATCTAGTGTTAGATAATGTACATATATACATGTTATAATAAGGGTGTGTAATATCAAGATTTTATACAATGGTCAAGGACACTTTGTTGTTATATTAGGCCAAACAAAAAAATAAGTGTGTTTCCTGTTGCAGGAGAAAAATAATTGGGGTTGGAATGTCGGATTTTTTAAATATTTTCCTTACTGATACGACAGTGGAAATGAGCTTACTGGGAACCCTGTGGTACATTTGGAAATGAAAAAAAATATCAAGGTCAACAAAAATCGGCAAGAAAATTAGGGTCGCTCGTGTAACAGGAAACTCACTGTCTTATTTTTTTGTTTGGCCTTATATAAAGAATTATTTTGCTTCGGTTTCTAACTGTTTTATAATACTTTTAAAATACAGATACAGGCAAAGATGATGCCAAGAGAGGAGAAAAGCTAGAAAAGCTACAGAAAGGAGAAGATGTTGATGTTGACCTTAATGACCCCGAAGTACAGGCTGCAGCCACAAAAATCCAGGCTAGTTTCCGTGGCCACAAAGCAAGAGAAGAAGTCAAACATCAGAAAGAAGAAGAAGCAGCTGCACTCAAAATACAATCAAGCTTCCGAGGCCATAAAGCAAGAGAACAAGTAAAAGAGATAAAAGAATCAAGAAGTAGAGAATCTGTAGAGGCTTCACCTACAAAGGAACCTGAGAAACCAGTAGAGGATGAAGTTGATATTGATCTTAACGACCCAGAAGTGCAAGGAGCTGCTCTTAAAATCCAGGCTTCATTCCGAGGACACAAGGCACGGTCAGAGGTACAGAAAATAAAATCATCAGAGGCAGTAGCTGCTGACGTGAAGGATGAAGGTGAGAAGAAGAAGGAAGAGGAAGTAACTGAAGCAGCAGTAATTGAGCAACCCTCGGAAAGCGCTCCTAAAGAAGAAGAAATTGACATTGACCTGAACGACCCTCAAGTAGAAAAGGCTGCAACAGTTATACAGTCTACGTTCCGTGCCCATAAATCAAGAGAAAGCGTCAAAGCTATGGTGGAAAGTGAGGGTGCTGAAGGTAAATAAAGAAGAAATGCATTCAAAAAACTTGAGGGAAAGTCTTTTCTTTCATTCGCAAAAAATAATTTTCAAATTCCAATTGGAATTCAGTAGATGAAGAGCTACTCTGGAAATGCCACTGATAAAGCCTATCTATTTAATTAATCATTATTTTTTAATTATTAATTATTATTTATAAAATTAGTAAATGTTTTCTTTGGAAGACAAATTCAATACGCCTAATATGTTTTAGGGCNAAAAAAAAAAAAAAAAAAAACAAACAAACAAACAAAAACAAAAAAACGTAAATGTAAAGGATAAATACATAAATAAAAAAAGTGCAAATACTTTTTTCAACCGTCAGTTATTCAGAAATAATTTTGATATTGTTAACATTACGACTTAATTTTGAAAACTGGATTTTTTGTTGATTACGCTCTGTTAATCGTAGCCGCACTTAAATGATTTCAGTGTTCATTACCGTTTAATCTCTTTTTTCTTGATTACATTGTGTAGACAAACCGGAAAACACAAAGATCAGCCATTCTTCAAATACATTAATATCTTGTCTTGGGAGTCTCATCAACATTACTTGTACATCTAATGCAAACCCTCCCGTTGAAAAGTACTCTTTATATCGAAACGAGGAATGGGTTCAGGAAAACAATGCTGGTCTATTCAAAGTGATGCTGGACAAAACAGGGATAAACAGATTTACCTGTAAACCTGAAAACCAGATTGGAGTGGGGAAAATCAAAAGCTTAACTTCGATCAACGTTACAGGTTAGTTATGTAAATACATGTAACATTGAAAGCGTTTTCTTGTTTTCTCTGCTTGTGTTTCTCAAATGAGATGTAGAATGCAAAACATGCTTAAATACGATTGCTAAGCACGAAATTTTGTAGAAATATATTTTTTAAAACTTGAATTTGTGCAATTCTTATGTTCCCACGCAGAACCACCGAAAATCAGTAACTGTGCGATATACGAAGGCGAAAAGGGCAATGCTTCAGCAGTTGAAGGAAGAAATGTAACTCTGAGGTGTATTATCTCTGGTAGTGAGCCGTTAAACATAACATGGACTAATGGACAGCAAGTGTGGAATGACAACACTGTAACATTTGAAACAGTCAACAGGAGTGATACCGGTACTTATAATCTGACAGTGAGCAACGGAGAGGAATGTAACAAAGCAGAAACGAGTTACTATCTAGATGTGTATTGTAAGTATACCTCAAGATACCGTTTTTATGGATCGAAAAAAAAAAAAGCTGTGAAAAAAAGAACATGTATTGCCTTTGCACTGCTGAAGTAATGACAAGCAGCATTTRAAACATCACGCTTACATTATTAATTCAGGAAACTTTCAGTGTTCAGTGCACAAATGCCTGAAAAGGTACATTGCTTCGAAATTAGAAGCAATTGTATGAAAAAGAGAACCCATGCCTGATTAACCTCGTTTTCGTGCTTCTGACATATTTCTACATCTACAGTCATTTGCCTCATTACCTTTGAAACTGAGCATATTTGTTAATTCACGTGTTCACGTGCAGTCTTTCAGTTGGTNAAGAAGAAAAGAGAAAAGGGGGCTGTCAAATGTTTTTCATTGGAACATGGGGGGTCTTGAAAGGTCAAAAGGAGGATGGGGATGATTTTTTAAATGATTGAAGGGGGTCCTGAAAACCATGCATGCTATTAGGTTGGGGTCTGGAAAATTTTAGCATCATTTTGAAATTCTGCAGATCTTCACTGCATTTGCAACATATAAATATTCTACACAAAATCAAGGACAACATTAAACAAAGAATTTGAAACTCGAGTATTGTAGAAGAATTAAAGTTTCATTGCTGTTAAATCATTAGCTAAAATTAATCATTGATTCATTACCTTTTCTAGAACCAAAAGAGGACACAGTTGATCAAGTAGAGGAGAGCACTGTCACTGCTGATCAGGGAGACACTGACAAAGGAGAAGAAATAGACATTGACCTGAGTGACCCAGAGGTCAACAAGGCTGCGACTAAAATCCAAGCATCATTCAGGGGACACAAGATAAGACAAAAATTAAAGGATAAATCACCTACCCCAAGTAAAGAGTCTGTTAAAACTGAGGAAGCTTCTGCTCCTGATGATGTTGCACCTGAAACAGCTTCTGAACAACAGTCTGCAGCACAAACAGAAGGTGAACCTCAGGAGGATGCAGAAATGCAAGAGGCGCCTGCCGACGCAGATGATAAAGCTGATGATGTGGTAGCAGAATCAGCTGAGGTTGCACCAGAAACTGAGAGCGAGCCTCAAGCAGAAACCACAGCCGAGGGACAAGAAATTGATCCGACACCTGAAGCACAGGAAGGCACCCCACAAGCAGATGATACAGATAAACCAGACGATACAGATAAACCAGATGACACAGATAAACCAGTCGATACAGATAAACCAGACCAAACACCTGAAGATACCCAACAAGCAGAGGACGAAGTTGAAAGTTAGATCAATATGTGTTGACATAATGGGGAGACAATTTTATAAAAGCTAAATCTTGTTTTTTTAACGAGAGCAAGAAAGCATCTTGACTTGTATATAAAATATGTATCGGACTGTCTGTAAATTGGATTTGTCTTTTTATGATTAAAAAAATCGAAAAAATACCACATGCACTACTACTGCATCATCCTTTACTTCCAAGGAATATCTAACAAAGAAAAGAATACAAGGCACTAGTAGTCAATGGGAACACCCACTCCCCGACCCCCAGAGCAGGGCAGGGAATTTAAAATTTCTGTAGCATTTTTATATTTAGCTCTTTTTCCCAGTCCCTGGGGAAAGATTTCCTGTGTGCTAACTGATTGAAAGCAGAAAGAGAGCCTTCCTTAATTTCAAGCGTCATTGCAAGAGGTGAGGATTGGGGGTAGAAAGATATGTATACATATCAACTACATCTTTAGAATTTTCTTTTACTGAGCTTTTTACTGTGGACATGGCACCTAACACCAGGGCTGGGAATTACAAAGGAAAAAAAAAACCAGCAAGCTGACTGCACAAAAAAATCAGTAAAAACTTAACAGAAATATTAAAGCTACTCACCAATGCATCAGTCAATTTAAAACCTCCACCCCAAGAGTTCCAGGACGGCGATGGGGGGGGGNTGACATATTTCTACATCTACAGTCATTTGCCTCATTACCTTTGAAACTGAGCATATTTGTTAATTCACGTGTTCACGTGCAGTCTTTCAGTTGGTGTTACAGTCAAACCACCTCAAGCGTGAACACGTAGAGGCCATTAATGATTTTGGATTCTTGATTTCATTATTCGATTCGAACATTCATTATTGAAAAAGAAAAATCTTCGAAGCCTGGCACATACAAAAGCCAAGCATATATGCAGCTGGATTGCAAAAACAACTTTTTGTGCAAGGAATATGTAATATTAATGACTTACCTTCTGTTTCCGCTATAAACAAGAGTCACAAGCCAAGTTAATCGAATTTTCAAATTATTATTATTTTTTGAATGTTGAAGATTCGTTTTCATTACTGAATGTTCGAATCGAATAATGAAATCAAGAATCCCCAAAAAAGTCATTAATGACCTCTACGTGTTCACGATTGAGGTGGTTTGCCTGTAAAATCCTTAACCAATTGGGCTATTTGACTTGTGCAGATTAGGGCATTACCTTTTTGCATTGGGTTCATTGTTAATCATTTGATTTAWTATACCCTCTATTGTACATTTCATTGTATTCGATTTGCGTGACAATCTACAAAAAAATCAGTCATCAGACATCTAGTGTGATCCCCGAGACTGTCGGTTTTAAAGGGCCTTATATACGAGGAGAGGTCGTGTCGGTAATCGGACTGTCAGAAACAGCTAATCAGCAATGAAATCAAAGAAACTATGGAGGGAAAAAAACATCTGTATGGAAGTCTGTTTGCTTTTGGTGAAAAACCGTGTGGTCACTCCGCCCTGGCGTTCTCATGGAAGAGATTGCCGATGAGTTCAGTGAATTGTTCACATCTGTCGGTGAAAATCAGTTGTTTGTTGGTTCCCTCCTGTGTTTCGAGGGTTTTTCCGGGTTCTCCGGTTTTCAAAAAGAAAAAAAAAAATCGACATCTAAATTCCAATTGGAATTTCAGTGGATTGAAGAGCCACTCTGTGGAAATGCCACTGCTAAATCCTATTTATTATTTTATTTTTATTTATTCTAAATGCTGCACGCCAAGATCAGCAGTTGGCGTTAGACTACGATCTACTATTCATAGTCCCGCCCAATCGCTCCGCCGCAGAGAATGAGGATCGCGATGTTAAGTTTGTATTCGATCGCGGTTCCTATGTATTAGCCAATACCATCACGAACATTCCAACAAACAAGGCTCCAGGGTACGATTAAAGTTAAGATGAGAGTTTCCAAGACGTGCCTGATGCCCATCCTACTTGTCATGACGGATGAGGCTGTTTAACGCCTCCCATTCAATGGGGTGTTTTATGGGAAAATGGAAAAGAGCCGAGGTGATTGCCCATCAGAAGGAAGGGGACCATGGAGTCGCCGGCAACAATCGTGCCATTTCTCTACTACCTGTCTTGTCTAAGGTGTTGGAACGCATAGCACACGACCAGTTTGTTCGTTACATCACGACAAACGACTTGCTTTCTGTTCATCGAAGTGGGAACAAAAAATGTCACACCACGGAAACATTGGAGATTCTCTTCTCTAGCCATCTGTACAAGGCTATCGACGAGAAAAAAAATGACAGTCGTCTTGATGCTCGATTTGACTAGGGCATTCGATAGTGTCAAACCTCAGACACTGCTAATGAAACTACGAAATGTCAAATTTTCCGACTTGGTATTAACTTGGTTCCAAAGTTATTTGACTGACAGAACGCATCGAGTACGAATCAACAGCTGTTCTTAAACATAATATTTATTTCAAATCTATTTTGGGTCTATTGCCTATTTAACCTGTACATAAAAGACTTACCATCAGTCTTTAACTTCTTCAAAGTTGAGTCCTATGCAGGCGTTTCCAAGCTGTTTAATGGAGGACTTCAAGATCGTAAGCAGGATCTAGTTGCTGCTTGACGTTGTGAAAATCAACTCCTAATATAAACTATGATAAGACGTTCTGTGTGTTTGGCTCAAACAAAATCCAAATCCAAATTAAAAAGCTTCAGTATATGGCTCAGTAGATGGCATTTCTATCTGTATATATTGTATATTTTGAACTGAATTGTAGTTAGCCTTTTCATGTTGGCAATATTTTTTTTTTCATGTTTATATTTTTACTATGATAATTTTGTGAATTATATAATTGAAGAATCCATCCAGGGAACCTTTAATAAAGCTAATTGTGTTGTATTGTACCGAGCAGGTTCTGGACGCGTTATTATCCTTGACCAGAAGCAATCTGTGAATTTGGTAGACCCTAAACTTAGTTCTAGACTGATGTGTGCTATTTTCGATATCAAAGAAGAGGTCTGTGGATTTTACCAGCTGTTAGTTAATGCATGGTTGGTTGGATGGATGGCGATGATGTTCTCATCGTTGGCTTTGTAACGTTCCTGAATTTTGTTGGTCGAATCGAGTATTGGATCTTTGTTTTGCGTCGTTCAAAATCTTTCCTTTTTTAAGCATCTATCTATAAAGCAATCACTACACTTATCTTTGAGATATATAATTTGTAATTTGTTTGCAAATAGACTGTAAATGAAGTATACATAATTTGTAAATGATCAGTTATTTGTAAACTTTTGTAAAATACTTTATAAAGGACATTTGATTCCCCACCGTAATATGTGATATGACGACACTCGATGAATCCTCAGATTAAATCATTTTTGGTCACGTGATAACTTCATTAGACAGGGTCTTACGTCACACACCACACTGCCTCTTGTGACCGCTATGGTTGTTCTCAGCAGCCTCCTCTATTTCCAAAGTCCCAGAAGAAATTATCTCGTTTTGGCGGTATTGGCCTCACCTTTGCTGTGAATATGCTTAGAATATTTGTACACATTGAGTATTGTTTGACACTTTGCGATTAATAAATGGCCACTTCGGTGGCCAAAATGTTCCAACCTGTTCAGAGGTATCGTTCTTGTTCTCAGCAAATAGAGCTTCACCAATGCAATTCTTTTATACATTAGTTGTTAAAGAAGTGTAATAAATGTATTTTGAAATTTGTATGTGTTTTATTTATTAGGTGTTGTAATCATGATGTATTTTAATAATCATAAAATTCAAATAATGGTAAAAATAGACAGACAGACAGACAGACAGACAGACAGACAGACAGACAGACAGACAGACAGTAAATCACTAAGATATTAGCAGATTGATATTTAAACGATTATCAATCGTCTTACGTCGTCTGCTTACGAACGTAAAAGTTACTTTCTCTGATTTAGCTCTCGGAAGGTTCTCGAAGATCTACGGTCAAAACCTTTTTAGGAACTATTTGAATCTTGATGTTTGATCTGGAATAATATCTAGAACTGAACATGCTCGCAGGCGAAAATAACATTACTTTCCAATGTATTTATATCAAAAGAAACCAGGAAAGACAGGTTTAAGTAAAATAATAGAATAAACGTCTGCATAAGGCTTGCCGAATCTTACTTATTAGTTTACTCATCAATGTAATACTTCTCACATTCTTATTACTTATTTCCACAAGCAAAGCGATCAAAGTCGTCTTTGGTTGTAGGTCTTCTTATAAATTCAACTGAGTCTTGCTCAAACAATCAATTTATTACAGGACGTGCTTCAAAACTCAACAAAAACAAAGGAATAAAAAAAGAAATAGAAAGAAAACTATAAACGGGAAGATTGTTATCTTGATTGCTGGGTGCGCTAGTTCGGCCTCGAAGCTCTTTATTTTGAATGACTTGATAGTAATGTAATGAATGCTTCGAGTAATTAAAAGATCTAATAATTGGATTTCATTTATTGCCCTAGAAGATGTTTCTTGATTAATAACTGAAGACGATGTACTTGTTGTGTTGCAGTGCTCAGTGTTGGTGCTTTAATTAGTTGTTGGAAGTCTAGAATGACCCAAACTATTCCAACTTGATTTCCCGACCAGCTGATCAAAGAAAAAAAATGTTAGCCTATCAGAATCGAGAAAATGTCACTCTTCTTCTTGAAATTAGTGTTTTTCATGCTACCAAATGAAAGAAATAGCGTTGCTAATACGAGATTGATAACAGTGACACAAATGGGTCATTTTTATTGCAATGGCAGGAATGTTTTTAGTTTTTGCTAGTCCATTTTAGCAAATTTCATACCATACCATTCATATATTTTGATTCCTTATTTTATTGTTATTTATATATCATTATTTCTAATAGTATTATTGTCGTCGTCAGTGGTTGTTTTTCCCCGGCTGCGAAAGTCCTATCACGCTGACACGTTACTTTTTTTGTCTTCGATTTTTATGAGCCAGATATCTGTAAAAACCAGACATCGATATTAATAAACAGAACACAGTACACCTTAAATGTCACTGGTAATCCACGACCGACAATCACTTGCAGACTTGGCAAAAACAAGACATCCCAATCTTATACAAGCGATGAAAAGGGGACCTTTAAAGTGACATTTTTCTCAAACAATGTGGAATTGATTTGTGAAATTAGTGGCAAAGCAGGCAAATGTAACTTCACTTTGTACAAAGAAAGTAAGTGATATATTTATAACTAGATTATTTTAAATTCCTTATAAAGAAATCATTCCCAACTTAAAAGTGAAAATACCCAGTACACTTTTAATTAAAACGTTCGCTTCCATTACAATACTATTATGATTACATCACTTTATAAAATAAATTAAATAGTACGCACGCTGTGATTGGTTGATAGCCATGTTTGCATGAGGGTATGTAAACACAGTTTTGACGTCANCCCCCCCCCCCCCCACTTCAACATTTAACTTTATCTCAAGGCTCCCCTTTTACCACATTCACTAAAATTTCAAGCCCCCCTCACATTTTGACTATAATTATTGATGGTTTTCACGGTGGCCATGTTGGAGGAACTTGTCAAAAAATTTGTCAATGAATTCTTTTGTTATATCCTCCAACATGGCCGACGTGTTTCTTGTTTAATTCTCTTGTGTATGGTTGAAAACCATCAATTTCTCCTTTAAGAATAATATTTTTATAAACGAAAGGTCACTTAATATTTTCTTACCTGTCCGCCATATCGAGTTCTCTCAGTTCTCTGTTGCTCAGCAGGGGTAGGCTCCCTATTTTGTTCTGAAGCATGAAGACAATAAAATAATAGCCAAGGATAATGATTTTGCTGCTAAACAAAACCCTAAAAGACAAAATCCCTCAAACAAGAATACAATAAAGCTTGATACTGTAGCACAAGAAAGAACCGAATGTTTTGATGATGAAAGGAGGCTAAACAGTGCAGGCGTTGCATGAGCAAATAATGAGCTTATCAAGGAACAGCGATAGCACAATTTGCGAGCTTCCATGAGGCGTGAAATTAGGTTTAGAACTAGTTTATATTGCAAAGCAGTATCCAAGCCGTTTGCAACGAAGTCAATATGACAATCCCCCTCCCCTTTCCCCGTGCGTTTATCAACGGGATGTACCATCACGTGACTATAAGTTTCGATTTCGCTTCAGCGATTCATTGATTTCTTGGACTATAATGGCGGGAACTGGCTACAACTGGATTCCAAAACCACTTCTACTAGATCTCTAAAAGACTGAATCTTCTAGCTAAGTAAGTGAAAAATATTAATGGGTTAAGATTCAGGGATTAGGTCAAAACTTGGCTTTTTAACCTTTGGCATCGGTATAAATTGAGCAATCATAGCTAGCTAGGTAGCTTATAAACTTTTATTTATCTTTTTTTCGCCTAAAATTTGGACTCAATATTAATTTATTCTTCGTAGAATAGCCAATCGATCGCATTTTTTGACGTTAAGTGAACTTTAAGTGCAATATTTTGAATGATCAACTGAAGTTAAGCGATGTGCTTCGAATATGTTCGGTCATAGTTAGAACAGGCCAGGGAACCTGCAAATGCTAACGAGGGATTCCAACTAAAAGCACAATAAGTTGCGAAAAAAGCAATAGGAATATATTTGGAATACTAAGATACAAGTCAGCTTTTTCTTGTCAAAAATTTTGGTAAAATTAAGAAGAAAATCTTAGGCCTGTACTCTCTACTTCCGGCTATGCATTTCTTGATATTAAACTAATTTTTTTAAGTTGTAAAGCAATCTACAACAACAATAACTTTATTTATACTTGAATTACAAGATAGCAAGTACATGCTAATATCTCCAAGTTATAAATAACCTAAACTAAAAATTAAAATTACATGATGCTAATATAAAAATATGGATGTAAACAATGAAATAAATATATGTATATATGTAAAATAAAATTAA